CCAGTTTTGCCAGCACCATTTATTAAACAAACATTCTCTTCCCCATTTAATGGATTTGGGGCCTTTGTCAAAGATCAGCTGACTATAGGTCGATGGATGTAATACATTTTTATGGTCTACATTTTTTACTTAAAACTTGCCACAAATATTTACTGAAGTCAAACAATATGCTTTTAGGCATTATAGGTTAGACAAATTTATATTACACATCAAAATTAGAAATGCAGTTTAATTTTATTGAATAAGTTGTTAGGCTAAGGTCTCAAAGTTAGAGCTAGAAAATATAAATTACACTGATGCATTCTCTTTTTTACTGTGTTGTTGTTGTTGTTATTTGCCATCAAGTCAGACCCGACTCATAACGACCCATCTTTGGGTTTCCGAGGCAGTATCACTACAGAAGTAGAGTGCCCAAACTGCCTTCCAAGAAGTGGCTGGTGGGTTTGAACCACCAGCTTTCTGGTTAGCAGTCTTAGGCACTATGGTACCAGAGCTCCTTTTTCTACTGTAGGAGGAGATAATGTCATCTAAGACAAGCTACTTTGTTTATTTCTTGACTCCCTATTACTGTAATACTGGAATCTAGCAATACTTGGCACATAATTTGGTATTTGGTTTGTGTCTGGACTACCTTGTTTTGGATTGGTATTATATTTATTGCACCTCCCACCCCCAAACCAAACCACAAGCAAAACACATAAAATCCCAAAACCCTCCAAAACCTTCTGCCTTTTGCTTGAGTATCATAATAATCTAGTTTTCCTTTATCTTTATTAGGTTAAACCATATGAAATTGCCAATATTTAATCACTTTGACTTTGCAAAAATGGCTATTTCATATGGTTCAACCTAATGTTAACAAGTCTTGTGGTAACTACAGTGGATTGATATTTATTACCCTCTTTGATAAAAGGAGCTCTGGTGGTGTAGTGGTTATGCATTTGGCTGCTAACCAAAAGGTCGGTGCTATCAGCTGCTGTGTGGAAGAAAGATGAAGCAATCTGCTTCCGTAAAGATCTACAGCCTTGGAAACCCATTGGGGATGGCTGTGAATTAGAATTAACTCTGTGGCAGTGAGTTGGGTTTTTTTCTTTTTGAGTGGTAAATATTTTTCTAAGTGTCGTGTGAGCCATTTTGGCTGGTTTTTATTCTGGGTGATATGAAACATATGTTTCTGTCAAATAAGCTCTGTTATAATAAAGTATTCTTACATGATTTTTTAAAAATCTGATTTTCAGATAAGTATTTTCGATACTCAGAATGAGGATAGCCAATTGATTTTGACTTTCAGAGTCCTAGATGAACTTTTAGCGATAGCAAAATAGGCTGTCTTTTGTCTGTCAATTTATTAATATGTGAATTCTTTTGAATAATCATATACCTAAGAAAATAGAGGAAAATTTATTCCTTTATAAAAAGTGTGTTCTTTTGGGATTGAGAACTAATGAGCTATCAGTTGAATGTGTTTCTAGGGCTAAAAAGAAATAGAATGTTTATTTCTTTAATCATAAATGTAGTTCTGTTTAGAATTATTTTAATTTAAATTAAACTTTCTAAGTTATATATAAATATTAATACATATTGCTTGATAATATTTGAAAAAACTTACTTTTAGATTAAAATGTTCTTCTATGATTATATAAAATGTTTATTGAACATGAAAGTATGTTTACAGTGACTAGTAGTAATTCTGTCTCCTATTTCTATAATAGACAAAACCTTCAACTGTAGAAGTTCTGGAAAATATAGATAAGGTATGTTTTTTGTCTGTGAGGTATTTTAATTCATTTTAGATATTAAGTACTATTTTAGTATATATTATTTTGGAGACCAGAGCTGGTCTGGGAATTTAGAGATGATATAGAGTAAGCCTGAGAACTTTAATGTAACATGATATTAAAAATATCTGAAGTCTATCAGTGAGTTAAGGAGTCTATGTCAAGTAATAGAGTCTCTTAGAATGAAATGAGATCTACAGCATGGTATAAATCAGTATTACAGATAGGGTAAAATAGATTATAAGATAGTCTGCAACAGTTTTTATCAGTCTGCAGAATTTTCACAGCTTCATGTCTGCTGTCTGTCATTGACACAATGGCTACAATGGGCTCAAACATAGCAACGATTTTGAGGATGATGCAGGACTGAGCAGTGTTTCCTCCTGTTGTACGTAAGGAAGCTATGAGTCGGAATTGAGTCAATGACACCTAAGAACAACATTGTTAAAAATGAATAGTCTTTGGGTATATTGAGAGCGATGAAAGAAACTGTAAGAATTTAGCACAAATCATTTTTAATTTTTATTATTTTTGCAACCTGCTTTTTTAAAAGGCATTTTAGAGGAATTCTTTCTTTGAGTCAACACATATTATTTACTGATGCCACTTTTGTTCCTCTAATGTTTTTTAATTTGATAGTTTAAGAAACAGTATCTTAATTTTGCATTTTAAAAAATGACTTATCAGAATAAGCATTCTCATACATATTTACTTTCTAGTTTTCTTTTTCATTTTTTGTCTTATTTTTTAAGACATTAAGGTATTATTTTTCTTTTAAGAGATCTTTTTATATGACCTTTCTGTTATGTTGTAAATTTTTGTTAGCATTTTAATTTCTTTAGGAAATTTGAGGTTTAATAATGTAGAATAATTTTCTCTTAACAGGAAATTCAAGCATTGGAAGAATTTAGTGAAAAAAATCAGAGATTACAAAAGTTATGGGTTGGAAGATTAATTCTCTATTCTTCAGTTCTCTACCTGTTTACATGCTTAATTGTATACTTATGGTATCTTCCTGATGAATTTACAGCAAGACTTGCCATGACACTACCATTTTTTGCTTTTCCATTGATGTAAGTAAAGTGTTCTTTCTTCAGCCCTTTCCCCTTTCTGACCTAATAGCTTTAGTATATTCTATTTATATTTAATATATTTAATATTATATTTAATAAATTCATTTTTCTTGCTGTTTGAAAAATATTTTTCAGGAAGTAGAATAATTTTTTCTTTTAACTTTTTATAATGGTTAGGGGTAAAAGTTTACGGAGCAAATTGGTTTTCTATTCAATAATTCACATACATTTTGTTTTGTGATATTGAATGTAATCCCTACAATGTAACAACACTCTTCTCACTTCCTCCTTGTTTCCATTTGTCCTTCTTCCCTATCTCTTTTTGCCTTCTGAGCTTTATCCCTGGGCAAATACTGCCCTTCTGATCTAATATGGTAGATGTAAGAACAATTGTTTTAAATTTTAATTTACAATCCAACATACCTGAGGAATATGACTTAGTGACATTAGTAATAATGGCTTTGAATAGCAATGTGTTGTCAGATGTCCTAGGGATATTGGGCATAGAATAGGCATTTCAGATTATGGGAAGTAGTGGTAAGAGGCAGATGGTTTGTAATACCAAAAGAACAACTGCCAAATATGTTCTGAATATATTCCATCATCCCACCTTTTCCTTTCTTTTTAGTTATTGCTGTAGAGCAATTGATGTTTATTATAGATATATTTTGTAATAGAACACTTTAAAGAGGTATATATCATGCTTGAGAGTTTTTATAGACTATTGAGTAAAAACTTTGTCCATTAAGTCAACAAACATTTATGGGTGCCAGTTGTTCAGACATTAGATTATAATGGTATATAATACAGAAATATACAAGCTCTCAGACTAGATATTACTCAGACTGCGTATATTAAATGAAGGAATAAGTGTGATGAATGATGAAAGAGAAGTGCAAAATGTTATGGGAGCACTTAATAAGGAGCCCTAATTCAGTCTGGGGTGGAGATCAGTATTAATTTTCTATTGCTACCCCAAATGTAGTGGCATAAAACAATACCCATTTATTATCTCATAGTTTTGTAGGTCAGAAGTCCAGGCAGCTCAATTGGGTTCTCTGCTTAGGGTCTCAGGAGGGCTAAGTCAAGGTGTTTCCTGGCCTGGGCTCTTATCTGGAGTCTCTGGGGAGAATCCACTTTCAGACTCATTCAGTTGTTGAGAAACTTCTGCTGTATCTCTCTTACTTTCTCTTCTGCCCTCAGCCAGGGAGAAGCTCTGCTTTTAAAGCCTCAAGTGATTATATTGTTCCCACCAGGATAATCTCTCTATTTTAAAATCAGCTGAGTAATAACTTTAATTATATCTGCAAACTCTCTTTACAGATGGAGCTACCAGGTAGACAGTTAAATGTGAGTCTGAAGTTCAGGAGATAAATTTGAATGGGAAATATAAATTTAGGATCTTGCATCTTATAAATGTTAATTGAAATATATATTTATTCAGGAAATATTGGGTACCTGTAATATGTTAGATATTGGGCTAGACACTAGTGATAAAGAAAGTAATGACAGGATCTCTGCCTTCATAGAACTTATATTTTACTGGGCTTACCAAAAAGCCAGACCAAACTCACTGCCGTTGAGTCAGATCCAACTCATAGCGACCCCTCCTTGGGTTTCCCAGGTGGTATTGCTACAGAAGTAGGTTGCTCAGTCTTCCTTCTGAGGAGTGATTGGGTTAGATAGACAAAAAATGAGAAACAGGTAAAAAAACAAACAAGTTAGGTGGAGATAAATCAATGAAGAAAATAAAGAGGGTGATATGATAGAGAGGAAGAGGCTGTTTTAGAATGGCCCTGGAAGGCCATTTTTAAGGAGGTGGTATTTGAATTAAGAACTAAAGTATGAGAAAGAAATAGTATGGAAATAGTTGGAATTTATGGAAAATTGATTATATGTACATTATATAATAGCACACATCCATAGAGAGATGAAAGAATTATCTCTGAAATATTATTGATAATTCTATCTGGGTGGTGGAATTTTAAGTAGATACAATTTTCTTTATACTTTTTGGTATTATTTGAATTTTGTACATTTATTATGTCACTCATATCCTCAACAACAACAACAAATCCAAGAGTTGATGGAAAATATTTCCAAGGAGAGAGAACACAAAATGCAATGGCTGTGAAGTAGCAGAGTACATGAATTCTTTTAGGGTAAAAAAGATGAGTATGACTGGAATGTGTGATGGAGAAGGAGAGTGATTGATAGGAGGTTGGACTAGCATCAAGAACCAGATAATGGAATGTTGTGACTTGGAGTTGAATTTCTTTGGGTGAAATTGAAAGCTTATAAAGATTGTAGTGGAAGAATAGCATGATGTGATTTAAGAAAATCATATTTTTCTGCCATGTGGAGATTGGTTAGGGGGGGACAAGAGTAGAATCAGGGAGTCAGTTTGGATGCTATTGTATTTCAGTCTAGGAGCTCTGGTAGCTTAGTGCCTAAGGCATTTGACTGCTAACCAGAAGGCTGGCGGTTCAAACCCACCAGACACTCCTCGGAAGGAAGATTCTGTAGTGATACTGCCTCGGAAATCCAAGGAGGGGTCGCTATGAGTCGGGTCTGACTCGATGGCACATAACAACAACAACATATTTCAGTCTAAAGATGAAGATAGATTAGACTACTGTACTCTAGGACAGTGTGGATGAAGAGATGATTTTTGGAAGTATTTTGGAGGTAAAAGTGATACAACCTGATGGGAAGAAATGAGAGGTAAGGGAAAAGGATATAAGTATCAAGAGTGATACTTAGGTCTTTAGTTTGATATTTGTTAGAGGTTGGATCTTTTTCTCTGGAACTACAGCAAAATTTTTTTGTTTGTAGTGCAGGGGTATTTTCAAATTGGAATTCCTAAAGCTCCAAAAGTTTTAAACTTTGTATAAAGATATATAAGAGCTGAAAATGTACTACATGCATAATACTGCAAAATAACTATATTTTCCTTCTCTTTTTTGACATCTTTTGGGATTCTTTTTATCTCAGGTGTAGTATTTGGTTTTATAGTGCTTAGGCCTTTTTTTTTTTTTTTTTTTGCTCTTCTACTTTTCCATAAAGAGAAAAGAAATTAAGAAATTTAAAATATTTTCTAAAAACTGCTTGGCATCCATTTCTATATAAAAATTGATTTTCTGATTATAAAATATTCATATCTAATTGCAAAAGAATGGCTCAGAAACTCTATTGTGTAAATTCTGATGGATGATCCACAAATTGTGATCCATTGGATCTGCTATTATGAATCATAAGTTTTTTTCTGTTTTTGAAAATAAAACCAAAAAACAAAACCAAACCCATTGCCATCAAGTTGATTCTGACTAGGACATAATAGAACTGCCCTATTGGGTTTTCCAAGCTGTAAATCTTTATGGAACAGACTGCCTCATCTTTCTTCCACGGAATGGCTGGTGGGTTCAAACCACCAGCCTTTGGTTAGCAGCCCAGTGCTTTAACCACAGTGCCACCAAAGCTCCTTGCAAATAAATCATATACTAATTGTTTTTAAAAGTAGAAAACCATAATTTCTTTAAGAATGTGTATTATTTTTTCTGCTTCAGTTTGATCTTTTTATTATTTTGAATATGAGGCTTTATTATCTTTTTTGTGTCTCTGATTGTTCTACACCTGGTATTTCTTGGCTTGTTAAGCTTCAGAGCCATTTCTCACTTTGCCTCATTCACATTTGTGACCTGGTTTTCAACTGTTGCAGCTTCTGTTTCAGTGAGCTCTTCTTCACTTTTGGAAGTATATACCAGTTACCCAACAAAGAATAGAATTGTCCTTCTGATTGATGACAATCACAAAAGCATGAAATAAAATACAACAGTGTGAAAATGACATTGTGGTAAATAGAGAAAAGGCTTACCACAGGACATTCTCTTTTATATGAATGTGAGCTATTGTCCAAACTTATCTAGACTTGTTTCCTTTGGAAATAAGAATTTTTAGGGTAGACCAGGATTTACTTAGAGTTGCTGGTAGAAAGAACAATATGAAATTTATTGCTTTACTCATCACTGTGTGCATTGATTATAAAGCTTAAAAATCTACCTGATATCTGGAAAATGTGATTGTCATCTCTGCCTTCTGTTTCCTAAATTCTTTTTACTGGACAGAGGGGTCATGAGTTCGGGACTAAGCACATTTTGAATAATCACAGATATTCCAGAATTACTCCATGTGAGATGTTTTGAAAATTTTATTATGTTTTCTTCAGAATGCAGTGTGGAGGAACTTGATGTGATTGAAACTTATCTGCTTTTCTGCCTTTCGTGTTCTATAGTATGTTTATATCCTTTTCATATTTTCAACCATTAATGAAATGGAAATTTAAAAAATTCTGAAGTTATTTAGTAGGAGCTATTGAAGCTGTGCTCCATAGTGAGAGAAGATTTAGATTACAGCTACAACTTTGCATTTCTGCTTTATATTGGCAGATAGGTGTTACCTGGGGGTAGTAGATTGATACTTTTCTAAGAGTGAGTAGCCATTAAGCTTTGTCTATTTCTAACTAGCTCTACAAGCAATCTTACAGACTTTTTACTTCTAGATACCATATTTATTTATTTATTTACAAAATTTTATTATCTTTTAGGTGAAAGTTTACATAGCACATTAGGTTCCTGTTCAACAATTTTACACAAATTGTTTCATGACACTGGTTGCTATTCCCACAGTGCATCAGCACTTGTCCTGTTTCTACCCTACCTTCCTTGTTTTCATCTCTCCAGTTTCCCTGCACCTCCTTGCCTTCTCATCTTTACTTTTGGGCATATGTTGCCTGTTTGGTCTTGTATAGTTGCTTTTCCTAAGGAGCTTATTCTTCATGTGTTAATATTTATTTTATAGACCAATCTATTGGGAGCTCTGGTAGCTTAGTGCCTAAGGCACTTGACTGCTAACCAGAAGGCTGGTGGTTCAAACCCATTAGCCACTCCTCAGAAGGAAGATGGGGAAATCTACTTCTGTAGTGATACTGCCTCAGCAACCCA